TGAATTCATTCATCAACTTTAATAGTTTTTTAGTGAATTCTTTAGAATTTTCTATATATGAGATTATGTTTTCTGTGAATAGAGATAGTTTTACTTCATCTTTTCCATCCGGAAGAATTGTATTTCTTTTTCTTGCCCAATTTCCTGGATAGTACCTCCAGTACAATGTTGAATAGAAAGGGCAAGAGTGGACGTCCTTGTCTTCCATATGATCTTAGGGGGAAATCATCTAGACTTTCATCATTAACTATGAAGTTAGCTGTGGGTTTTGTTTGTTTGTTTTGTAGATATCCTTTGTCAGGTTGTGGGGTTTCTCTTCTATTTCTAGTTAGTTGAGTCTTTTTTATCATGAAAGGGTGTTGTATTTTTTCCAGTGCTTTTTCTGCATTCTTGAGATGACCATATGATCTTTGTTTTTTTATTCTATTGATATGATGTATTACATTAATTTTATTTTTGGATATTAAATCTACTTCACATTACTGGGATACATTTCACTTGGTCATGGTATATAATTCCTTTTATATGTTCTTGATTTGGTTTACTAATTTTTTGGCTGTGGATTTTTGCTTCCATATTCTTAAGAGATATTAGCCTGCAGTTTCTTTTCTTATGATGTCTGTGTCTGGTTTTGACATTATGGTAATTAACACAGGTCTCATAATTAATACTTCCTACTTCATAAAGTGAGATAGGAATTGTTTGCTTCTCTTCTGTATTTTGGAAGAGTTTGTGAAGAGTTCTATTAATTCTTCTTTAAATGTTTGATAGAATTCAGTGGTGAAGCCATTTAAGCCTGGGCTTTTCTTTGTGGGTAGTTTTATTATTATTTTAAATTCAATCTCTCTTTTATTATAGGCTTTTTCAAACTGTCTGTTTATTCTTGTGCTAGTTTTTGTGGTTGTGTCTTTTAAGAAATGTGTCCATTTCATCCAAGTTATCTAATTTGTTGATGTGCTATTGTTCATATTACTCCTTTATAATTCTCTTTAAAATTGGTAAAATTGATAGTAAAGTCCTTCTTTTATTTCCAAGTCTAATAACTTGGGTTTCTCTCTTTTTATCTTGGTCAATATAGCTAAAGATTTGTTAATTTTGTTAATCTTTTCAAAGAAACAGCTTTTGGTTTCATTGATTTTTTTCTGTTGTTTTTCTATTCACTACTTCACTAATTCCCCTCTAATCTTTATTTCCTTCTTTCTGCTGGATTTACATTTAGTTTGCTCTTCTTTTTAGTGGCTGAAGATGGAAAGTTAGGTACTGACTTGAGATATTTCTTCTTTCTTAAATAGAAATTTACAGCTGTGAATTTGCCTGTCAGCACTACTTTATCTGCAACCCATAAGTTTTGATAGCGTGTGTCTTTGTTTTCACTTGTCTCAAAGTATTTTCTGATTTCTTGTTTCATTCTTCTTTGACCCATTCATTACATAGGAGTGTGTTGTTTTATTTCCGCATGTTTGTGAGTTTCCCAAATTTTTCCCTGTTACTGATTTCAAATTATATTCCATTGTGGTTGGAGAATATACTTGTATTATTTCTATTCTTTTAAATTCATTTGTGTTTGTTTTATGGCCCAGCACATGCTCTATCCTTGAGAATGTTCCAAGTGGACTTGAAAAAAATGTGTATTCTTTTGTTGTTGGATGGAGTGTTCTATAGATTTTTAAGTCTAGTTGATTGATAGTGTTTTTTAAAGTCTTCTATTTCCTTGTTGATCTTCTGTACAATTGTTTTATTCATTATTGAAAATGGAGTAGTGAAGTCTTCAACTGTTATTGTTGAATTGTCTTTTCCCTTTATTTCTGTCAATTTTTGCTCCACGTATATTGACACTCTGTTACTAGGTGCATATATATTTATAATCATTATATCTTTCTGATGGATTGACCCTTGCATCATTATAAAAAGGTTCTTTCTCTAGTAACATTTTTTTGTTTTAAACTTTACTTGTCTGATATTATTTATAGCCACTCCAGCTTCCTTGTGGTTCCTGTTTTCATGATATATCTTTTTCCATCTTTTTACTTTCTATCTATTTATCTTTGAATCCAATGTGTGTACTCTTATGGGCAGCATATAGTTGGATCATTTTTTTATCCCTGACAATCTTCTCTTTTTGATTGGCTTGTTTAATCCATTTGCATTTAATGTTATGATTAATGTTGTTGGATTTACACCTACCATTTTACTTTTTGTTTCATATGTGTATCATGTCTTTTTTGTTTCTCTAGTCCTCCTTCACTGCTTTCTTATATTAAATGAATATTTTCTAATGTAGCATTTTAATTTCTCTAATGAGTTTTCATTATATTTATTTGAATTATTTTTTTAGTGATTACTCCAGAGTTTACCACATATGTCTTAACTTATCATAATCAACTTTAGATTTACACTAGTTTAATTCCAATGGTATATAGAGATATTACTCCTATATAGTTCTATTCCATGTTCCCCCTTTTTTGGTATTATTGTTATATATAGTACCTCCATTAATATCACACGCTCAACAATACATTGTTATTTTCATTGCTTTACCTTCTGTAGTTATTTTCTCAATCCAATACAGCTTTGTTCCCACCCACCTCCTTAGTGCTATTATTGGCAAATACATTACATGTATATCACTTTTATATATCTCATAGACCCAACAGTACACTATTTGCATATTATTTTATGCAATTGATTTTTAAATCAGTTAAGAGAAGAAAGGACAAAAATATGCCTTATATTGTCTTTTATAATTACATAACTATCTTTATCAGTGCTCTTTGTTTTTTCATGTGGATTTTATTTACCCTAAAGGGGTAATTAATTACCCTAAAGGGTAAATAAAATCCTTGCTTTTAGCCTGAAGAACGTTCTTTAGTATTTCTTGTGATGTAGATCTGCTAGCAACAAATTGTCTGGGAAATTTATCTGGGAAAGTCTTTATTTTGCTTTCATTTTTAAAACATAATTTTGCTGGATATAGGATATGTTTTTTCTCTGAGGACTTAGAATATATTATCTCATTTTTTGGGGCGTATCCATTGTTTCCGGTAACTCTTGGAGATGTTGGGATGGGGTGAATGTATTTTGCATGCAAAAAGGACATGGATTTTGAGGGACAAAAGAGAGTGAAATGTTATAGACTGAATTGTGTCCCCTCGAAATTCATATGTTGACATCCTAACCCCCAGTGTCACTGTATTTGGAGATAGGCTCTTTAAGAAGGTAACTAAGGTGAAATGAGCTCTTAATGATGAGATTCTCATCCAATAGGAATGATGTCCTTATAAGAAGAGAAAGAGACACAATCTCTCTCTCCATGTGTGCATAGAGGAAAGGAGATGTAAGGACAGAGTGAGAATGTGGCCATCTACAAGACTAGAAGAGAAGTTTCATCTGAAACCAATCTTAGTGGCATCTTGATCTTAAACTTCTAGCCTCCAGAACTGTGAGAAAATAAATTTCTTTTGTTAAGCCACCCAATCTGAGGTATTTTTTTATGGCAGCCCTAGCAGACTAACCCACTAGTATACAAAAATACAATTGATTTTTTAAAATATCAATTTCATATCCTAAAACCTTGCTTAGGTCACATATTATTTCTAGTAGTATTTTTGTATTTGCCTTAGAATGGTCCATGTAAATAATTATACTGTTTTTGAATAAAGATAGTTTTGTATCTTGCTTTCCAATCTGTTGTGCACTTTTTTTCTTTTTCTTACCATACTGAGTTGGCTAGAACCTCCAGTAAGATGTTAAATAAAACTGATGAGAACAGACATTTTTGCCTTAATCTCTATCTTGCAGAAAAATGTGTAATATTTTTGCCATTAGGTATGATGTTACCTGTAGGTTTTTAGTATATACCATTTATCATATTGAGGAACTTCCATTTTATTTATAGTGTCTGAGAATTTTTTTCTAACAATAAATGTACATTGGAATTCTGTCCAATGCTTTTACTTTGTGGAAATACATATACAATTTTCTTTTTTATTATGTAATAATTAATTTTTGAATGTTGAACCAACCTTGCATTCCTGGGATAAACCACTCCTGATTATCAAGTTATTCTTCTTTAGGGCTGGCCCTGGTGGCCAAGTGGTTAAGTTTGGCATGCTACACTTTGGCAGCCCAGGTTCAGTTCCATGGGAGTGGAGCTACACCACTCATTTGTCAGTGGCCATGCTGTGGTGGCAGCTCACATACAAAAAGAGGAAGATTGGCAATGGATGTTAGCTCAGGGCAAATCTTCCTCAGCAAAAAAAAAAAAAAAAGTTATTCTTCTTTATATATTGCTGGAATAAATTAACTAGTGGCTAAGTATATTTCTATGTCCATGAGTGGCTATCTATAAATTGTCTATAAGTTTTTCTTGTATTTTCCTTGTTAAGTTTGTTGTCAGGATTATGCTAACCTCATGAACCAAATTACAATGAATTCTCTTGTCCTCTATTTTCTGACAATTTTGTATAATATTAGTTTTGTTTCTCCCTTAAATATTTGTTATAATTCACCAGTGAAGCCCTCTGAACTGGAGATTTACTTGTGGGAAAGTTTTAAGTTACAAATTCAATTACTTTAATAGAATGTCTATTTACATTTTCTATCTCTTCTTGTGTTAGTTTTGATAAGGTGAGTTTTTCAAGGTAGTTGGCCATTTCAAGTTAGCCTTAAAACATATTGGCATACAGTTGCTCACAATATTTCTGTCACCCCTTTAATATCTGCAATATCTGTAGTGATATTCTTTTTGTTTTTCATGCAACTGTAATTTTTTTTATTAGTCTGGCTAGGATATTTATCATTTTATTAAACTTTTCAAAGAATCAATTTTTGGCTTTGCTGATTTTTGCTGTTTTTCTGTTTTCCACTTCATTGATATCTGCTTGCATCTTTACAATTTCCTTTCTTCTAATTCTTTGAGTTTAAATGTTCTGCCTTTTCTAGTTTATTACACTGGAGGCTTAGATCATTGCTTTGAATCTTACTTTTTTCTAATATAGCATTTAAGGCTATATATTTTCCTCTTAGGACTGCTTTAGTTGTATCCTACAAATTTTAATGTATTATGTTTTCATTGTCATTTAGTTAAAAGTATTTTCTAATTTCTCTTATGATTTTTTATTTGACCCAAGAATTGTGTGGCTTCACTTTCAAATATTTGGAGATCTTCTAGATATCATATTGTTATTTATTTCTATTTTAATTCTGTTAGAGAGTATTCTCTTTATTATTGAATTCATTGAAACGTATTGATACTTGTCTCATGGACCAGAAATGGTCCATCTTGGTCATTGTTCCTTGAAATAATTTTTTGCGCCTCATTTTCTCCTCTCCTTCTGGGACTCAAAATAAGGCAAGGAAACAACAATAAGCTGATGGTGCAAATTTTTAAAAAATAGTAAGATGGAAGATACAAATCTGAGCATACATCATTAATGCATTAAATGTAAGTTGACTCAATCTTTCTATTGAGAGATAAAAAATTTATGAATAGGGAAAAATCAAATATGTCCTACTTCAAAGAGGTTCACCTCAAGTATAAGATATAGAAAGCAAAACAAAAAAAGTGGAAAAACATATGTCATGAAAAAACTAAGCAAATGCAAGATATTATAGCTATACTAATAATAGAAAAGATAGAACTATAAGGCAGGAAGAATTACTAGAGATAATGAGGTCATTTCATAAATAAATAAAGGTTAATCATCTAGGATTCTACATTTATATGAAATTTATAATATAGGTTTAAATCATATAAAACATAGACTGACAACTATAAGGAGAAAGAGACAAATCTGTAATCACGGTGGCAATATTAACCCAACTCTCTTAGTAACTGTATTCATTTCCTGTGGCTGCTGTAAGAAATTACCATAAACTTGGTGGCTTAAAACAGCAGAAAATTATTTTCTCACAGTTCTGGGGGCTAAAAATCCTAAATCAAGGTGCCAGCAGAACCATACTCCTTCCAAAGGTTATAGGGGAGAATCTTGAGAATCTTTCCTTGCCTCTTCCAGCTTTTAGTAGCTTCAGGAATTCCTTGGCTTGTGGTTGCATAACTTTAATCTCTGCCTCTGTCTTCACATGGCCTTCTCCTCTGTGCCTGTGTCTTCTCTTCTACCTCTTATAAGAACAATTGTCACTGGATTTATAGTTGACCTGGATAATCTAGGATGATCTTGTCCCTTGAGATCCCAACTTAATTACATCTGCAAAGACTCTTTTTCCAAATAAGATCACACTCACAGGTTCTGATAATTAGGACGTGGACATTTTTTTTTGAGGCCACAACTCGACCCACTACAGTAACTAATAAAGCGGACTTAGAAAAAAATTAGTAAGGATATAGTAGATTTTAATATTAACCAACATGATGCGACCAACACTTATAGAACACTGCACACAATAATTGTAGAATATAAACATTTACTAAAATGGACTATATGCTGGGTCATAATGCAAGTATCATTAAATTACGAAGGATTGAAATTATTCAGCAAGTTCACTAACCAGAGTGGAATTAAACTAGAAATCAATAACAAAAAGTAGCTAGAGAATCACCTAATGTTTGGAAATTAAGGAGCACATTCCTAAATAATTCAATGAATATTGCAACCTGTTTTGAATGGAATCTTAATGAAAATACAATATATCAACATGTGGGGGAGGAGCTAAATCTGTGAGTAGAAGAAAATGTATGGCCTTAAAATGTGTATATCCAAATGCCTGATAAATATTTGAAAAGGTGCTCTATCATATTATCCATCAGGGAATATCATAGGATAATGGGATACCACTGTATACCAACAAGAATGGCTATAATTTAAAAGATTGAAAATACCAATTGCTAGCAAGGATGTAGATCAAGAACGCTTACGTATTTCTTGTGAGAATGTAAATTAGTAAAATTATTTTAGAAAATGATTTGGCAATGTCCTCTTCAGCTGCTTCTATGAACCAGCAATTCCACATAAATTCCTAACAGAAATGCATATATATGTGCATCAAAAGACAATGATTTTTATAGTAGCAACATTCATAATATCTGAAAACTGGAAACAATCAAATGTTCAACAGCAGTAGATGGATCAATAAATCGTGATGTATTCATAGAGGGAATACTATATGGAAATGAAAACGAATGGACTTCTGCAACTGAAGGTATAGATAAATATAACAAACAATGTTGAAGAAAGAAGCAGGATACAAAAGAGCTTTTATTGTATGATTCTATTCTTATGAAGTTTAAGCTAGGCAAGAGTACCGTATGGTGATAGAAGTTAAGATTATGGTTCCCTTTGGAGGGTCATGCCTAAGGGAGGTGGGGATAAAGGAGGTATGTGGGGTGCTGGTAAGATTCTATTTCTCATTCTGGGTGATGATCACATGGGTATGTTCACTTCCTGAAAAATTATTGAATTATATGCTTGTGTTTTACGCACTTTTCTGTATATATGTTATACTTCAATAATAAGCTACCATAAAAGAAAGGGGAAAATCTGGTCTAGTACAGCAGTGTTCTCAGACCTGTCAGCATGGGGGGTAAGCATTGAGCTCACATAATACAAAGCCTGAGTGGAAGGAAGTGGTAGGACTAATTGATTGGTGATTCAGCAGGGTTGAAGGATGGTTCGTCCTTCAGAGTATTGGGGGAAGTGAGCCTGAAAGAGTAGAAGTAGTGTTCAGAAAGATGAATGCATAAAATTTGATTATGGAATGCTAACAGCTATTGGTCATGATAAGGCCCAGAGCCTGAACATGAGAAGGGATAAAGGGTAAAATCATCTGAGAAGAAGACATCAAATAACTGAGAGTCCAGTTTATTGACAGGATTAACTGTAACTTGTATTTTTAAACTTTTATGTTTTTAATAATTTTATTAATGTAAAATTGGCATACAATAAACTGCACACAATTATCGCGTACAATTTGATGTTCTTGCATATGTATACACCCATGAAACCATCAATACAATGAAGATATTGAACATACGCATCACCCTCAATAGTTTCAAGTGCCTCTTTGTAATCCCTCTTCCTTCTCCTCCTTGGCTCCCTCATATATATGCAGCCACAGACCTCCTTTCTGCCACTGAAGGTTAATTTGCATTCTCTAGAATTTTATATAAAAAAAAGCACACAGTATATACTATATTTTTTTTCTGGCTTCCTTCACTCATCATAATAGTTTTTAGCTTCCTCCATGTTATAGTATGTATTGCTGATTAATATCCCATTTTATGGAGTTTGTCTTTTCTAAGAGTTTTGTCTGTTCGTTCACTTGTTAATAGACATGTGGGTTGATTACAGGTGTTATGGGTTGAATTGTATCCTCAGAAAATTCCTATGTTGAAATCCTTCCCCTCAGTACCTCAGAATATGACTTTATTTGGAAATAGGGTTGTTGCAGATGTAATTAGTTAAGATAAGATCATACTCCAGTAGGGTGGGGTCCCTAATCCAGTATTACTGGTGTCCTTATAAAAGGGGGAAATCTGGACACAGACATGCGCAGAGGAAGAACATTATGTGAAGATGAAAACAGAGATCAGGATAATGCGGCAGAAGCAAAGGAATGCCAAAGATTGCCAGCAAACCACCAGCAGCTAGGAGAAAATCAAGGAACTGATTCTCCTTCACAGACCTCAGAAGAAAGCAACCCTGACAATATCTTGATCTCAGACTTCAAGCCTCCAGAACTGTGAGGCAATACATTTCTGTTGTTTAAGTCATCCAATTTGTAATACTTTGTTAATGGCAGCCCTGGTAAATCTTCACAACAAGTTTTAGCTATTACAAATAAGATTGCTGTGAATATTTATCTGTATGTCTTTATATAAATATACACTTTCATTTCCCTTGGATGAATACCTAGGAGTGGAACGTTTAACTTTACAAAAAATTGAAAGTGGTTGTACTATTTTACATTCCCAACAGGCATGCTTGAGAGTTCCAGTTCTTCTGCATCCTTGTCAACACTTATAAAGAGATAAAATTTAGAAATCTGACCATATAAATTCATCTATTGTGTTATCACATTGTGGTTTTAATCTGCATCTTCTTAATGGCTAATGATGTTGAACATCTTTTCGTGTGCTTATTTGCATCCTAATAGCCTCTTTGATAAAGTTTCTGTGCAAATTTTCTGCCCATTTTTTTTCGCTAGGATGTTTGCTTTCTTATTATTGAGTTTTGAGGGTTCTTTATATATTATGATAAAGGTCCTTTATCATATTATGATTTGTGAATATTTTCTCCCAGTCTGTCACTTGTCTATTCATTTTCTTAACAGTGTCTCTCAAAGAGCAGAAGTTTTTCTTTTTAATTTTTATGAAGTCCAATTTATCCCTTTGTTCTTTTATGGATCATGCTTTTAGTGTCATGTCTAAGAAATATTTCTCTAACTCAATGTCACAAAGGCTTTTCTTATCTTCTCTTTTATAGGTTTTATAATTGTAGGTTTTACATTTTAGTCTATAATCCATTTTGAGTTGTTTTACATATGGTGTGAGGTTTGAATTGAAGTTATTTTTTTAATATTTTGAAATTCAATTGTTCCAGCACTATTTGTTGAAAATTGTATACTTTCTCCACTACATTGACTTTACATCTTGTGATAAAATCAGTTGTCCATACAGGTTTGGGACTATTTCTGAACTCTATTCTGTCCCACTGATCTATTCGTTTAGCTTTTTGCCTATATCTCACCACTTAGCTACTCTAGCTTCATATTTAGTCTTCAAATCAGGTAATGTTACTACTACTTTGTTCTTCTTTTTCAGAGTTGTTTTGGATATTCTAGATCCATTGTATTTCATATCAATTTTAGAATCAGTTTGTTAATTTCTACAAAAAAACATGTTTTTGTTTTTATTGAGATTACATTGAATCTATAAATCAGTTTGGGAAAAATTGACATCTTAACAATATCAAGCCTTTAAAGGCTTTAAATACAAATTTGATTTCAGATAGATAGATAGACAGACAGACAGACAGACAATTTCTTCAGACTATTTCTTATTGAATGAGGTTTGGTGGTTTATGTCTTTCCAGAAATTGACCCAGTTCATGAAAGTGGTTGATTTTATTTTCATAAAGTTGTTTGTAACGTTTTCTTCTTATCGTTACATATGTAGAATCTGTAGTGATGTCACTTCTCTCATTACTAATATTGGTAATTTGTTTCTTCTCTCTTTTTTTACCAATAAGTCTGGCTATATGTTTATCTACTTTACTGATCTTCTCAAGAACCAACTTTTTCTTCCTAATCTGTACTCATTTTTTTTTATTTCTTTGATTTCAAGTCTGATATTTATTATTTCTTTTTTTCTACTTACTGTGGGCTTAATTTGCTCTTATTCTTTTAGTCTCTTTAGGAAATCCTCCTCTGCTGAGATCGCCCTTTGGTGAGTCTTCACACAGGACATGAGTATCTTCACATTTTTCACTCATTCAGAGAGATCTCTCTACATACCTCTTTCCCAGACTTCCTTGTCATCAATTTTCCAATCATGTTCTTTCCAAGTCTCTAACCATCTAGAAAAACCATTGGCCACAGCCCATGAATTGGTATATTTCCAAGCAAAGTAAATAAACAGATGCACTGCTCCCTATGAGGCCATAGATGTAGGTTGAGAGAAAGAAGGTAACGTAAAAGAAGTAGGGACCATGGGCATTTGGACCATTTCTTCATGCAACTTACTTGTGTCTTCAGGGCCTGCTTAAGTCAATCTCACATATACAACTTCCATTTGATGAAGGAGTGCTGTTGTGCATGCCAAACTCTATGACTTGGTGGGTCAGCTAACATCTAGTTCATGATGGGCAACTCAGATTGCATGGTAACTTGGTGGCTCTACCAAGGCCCAGAGGCAAGCCAAAAGCTGTTTCTCAAAAGCAGAGTAATTATCTATAGAGGGTGGCAGGGCTTTGCTCCAAAATTCTAAGGGTCTGCACCGTAATTCATCTGTAGGGGCCGACCAAAGCTCTAAATTGCATCCCTTTTGGTCACTGAGGCTTCAAGCATCATTGGATCTGCTAGATCATATAGTTCAATTGTCAGAGCAACTTGCAAGGCAGGCTGCACCTGCCGCAGAGCCTTCTCTTGTTCTGGGCCTCTCTCAAAACTAGCAGCTTCTTGGGTCACTCAGTAAGTGGGCTGGAGTAGCACATCTGAAAGAGGAATATGTTGTCTCCAAAATCCAGAGGCCCACAAGGTGTTATATCTCTTTTTTGGTTGTCGGGGGGCCAGATGCAACAATTAGTTCTTTACCTTAGAAGAGATATACTGACATGCTCCACACCACTGGTTCCTAGAAATTTCACTTAGGAAATTTCCTGAATTTTTGTTGAATTTATATTCCACCCTCTGACATGCAACTATTCTACCAATAAGTCTAGAGTGGTTGCTACTTCTTGCTCACTAGGTTCAGTCAGCATAATGTCATCAATGTGATGGGCCAGTGTGACATCTTGTGGAAGGAAAAAGTAACCAAGATCCCTGTGAATTAAATTATGACAAAAAGCTGGAGAGTTGATAAATCCCCGAGGTAGGACAGTGAAGGTGTACTGCTGGCATTGCCAACTGAAAGCAAACTGCTTCCAGTGGTCTTTATTAACAGGGATGGAAAACAAAGCATTTTCCAGATCAATAGCTGCATACCAGATACCAGGGGATATGTTAATTTGCTCAAGCAATAAAACCACGTCCGGTACAGCAGGTACAGTTGGAGTCAGCACCTGGTTGTTCATTTTGCTTGGAAGGAGAAATGACCAGATGTGTGATTATATACCAATTCATGGGCTATAGCCTATAGTATGTCTAGATGGTCAAGGAATGGAAGGATCATGATTGGAAAATTGGTGACAAGGATGTCTTGGGAAGAGGAATGTGGATAGACCTCTCTGAGTGAATGAAACATGAAGATATTTGTGTCCCATGTGAATGCTTACCAAAGGATGACCTCAGCAGAGGAGGATTCTAATAATTGAGTGGACAATATGACTCATTATGTGGATATCAGTCAACCTTTTTCCACAGCCACCCCTGTCGTCACCCAATAGGCTCATGAACAACGTGACCATGGTGGCAGAGATGGATTATGTTTGGGCTCAGCAACATGGACTTCCACTCACCAAGGTTGACCTGGCTACAGCTACTGCTGACTGCCCAGTCTTCTAGCAGCAGAAAGCAACACTGAGTCCCTATTATGGCACAATTCCCTGGGGTGATCAGCTATTATGGCACAATTCCCTGGGGTGATCAGCCAACTACTTAGTGGAAGCCTGATTACATTGGACCACTTCCATCATGGGAGGGGAAACATTTTGTTTTTACTAGAATAGACACTTACTCTGCACACAGATTCTCCTTCCCTGCACACAATGCTTCTGCCAGAACTACCATTCATGGACTTGAAGAATGCCTTATTTACTGTCATGATCTTCCACACATTATTGCTTCTATCAAGGAACTCACTTCACAGAAAATGAAGTGTGGTAATGGGCCCATGCTCATGGAATTCACTGGGCTTACCATGTTCCCCAACATACTGAAGCAGCTTGCTTGATAGAATGGTAGAAAGGCATTTTGAAGACTCAGTTACAGCACCAGCTGGGTGGCAATAGCTTGCAGGGCTGGGAAAGGTTCTCCACAAAGCTGCGTGTGTTCTGAATCAGCATCCAACATATGGTGTTCTTTTCTCCCATAACCAAGATTCACCAGTCCATGAATCAAGGGATCAAAATAGGAGTGTCACGACTCATTATTATCCCTAGTGACCCATTAGCAAAATTTTTGCTTCCTGTCCCTCTGACCTTTTACTCTGCTAGCCTAGAGACCTTAGTTCCAAAAGAGGAATGCTTCCATCAGGAGACAAAACAATGATTCTGTTGAGTTGAAATTAAAACTGCCACCTGGCTACTTTGGGCTCCTCATGCCTCTCAATCAACAAGCGAAGCGGAGAGGTACTCTGCTGGCTGGGGTTATTGATTCCAACTATCAAGAAGAAATTGGACTCCTACTCCACAACAGAGGTAATGAAGAGCATGTTTGGAATACGTGAGATCCCTCAGGGTGTTTCTTAGTAGTATTATGTCCTGTGATTGGATAGAAACTAATGGAAGTCAATGGAAAACCAGAACAACCCATTCAAGGCGGGATTACTAATGGTCCAGATCCTTCATAAATGAAAGTCTGGGTTCTCCCACCAGATAAAGAACCATGATCAGCTGAGGAGGACTCTAATTGTCATGAGTATATCTTCCTTATTTTATTATGAATATGTTTGTGTGTGTGTGTATTATATATACATAATTCTGTCAAAACTACATCCATGGACATATAGAATGCCTTATCTAGATAGATAGATAGATAGATAGATAGATAGATAGATAGATAGATATAGATATAGATATATAGACAGATAGATATCAAATAGATATCAATTAAATATATCAAATATATAACAATAAATGATACATATATCCCAAATATCTTTGTTTTCTTCCCTATCTTATCTTTTTATCATATGGTATAAGTTGTATTGACTTTATATCGTAGTATTTAGGTATCATTAACTTTACATCATAGCATTTAAGTTTGGGATACCAAGGAAAAGAGTAAAATTCACCCAAGGACTTTGCATTCTCTTCTGGGGAAAAGATCATTGCATTTTCAGGTGTACATAGGATAGTTGCATCGTGTCAGGCAGAAGTATGACCTTGTCTTTTTTTGAGAATAACTATGGTTTAAGATGCGTTTGGTACCAAGTTGACAAGGGGTGGACTCGTAATGGTTAATTTTATGTGTTGCTGGCTGGGCCATGATGCCCAGATATGTGGTCAAACATTATTCTGGATGTTTCTATGAGGGTGGTTTGGATGAGATTAACATTTAAATTTGTGGACTTTGAATAAAACAGATTGCCCTCCATAATGTGGCTGAGCCTCATCCAATCAGTTAAAGGCCTGAATAGAATAAAAAGACTGAAGTCTCCTGAGCAAGAGGGAATTCCCAGCTTGATGGCCTTTGTACTTGAACTGCAACATAGACTCTCCTCTGGGTCTCCAGTCTGGCAGCCCACCTTGCAGATTTTGGACTTGCCAGCCTCTATATTGCATGAGCCAATTCTTTAAAATAAGTCACATTTGTATATATATATATACAAATACACATATACATTGTATGTGTGTACATATATATACACACTCACAAAAGCGATTTACTTTATTTGTGTATATATATATACGTATGTGTGTGTGTATATATATATATGTGTGTATATGTATACATACGTACATACACAGTCTCCTGATGGTTCTTTTTCTCTGGACAACTCTGGCCAATACAAGGAGAAAACTGAGGTCATTGATTTGAGACCTTCGTTTTCTTTTCTAATATCAGCATTTAGTGCTAAGACTTCCTCATTAAGTACAACCTTAGAGGTGTCCATTTACATTATTTTAATTAATAGACTTTACTTTTTGAGCTATTTTAGGTTTATAGGAAAAATTGAGTGAAAAGAACAAAGTATTCCCATATATCCCTTCACCATCCCCCCAATTTCGCCTGCTGTTAACATCTTGCATTATTGTGGTTTATTTTTTACAATTGATGAACCAATGATACATTACTATTAACTAAAGCCCGTAGTTCACATTAGAGTTAACTTTTTGTGTTGTATAGTCTATGGGTTTTGACAAATGTAAAATGACATGTATTTACCATTACAGAATCATACAGAACAATTATTTCGCTACTCTAAAAATCTCCTGTGCTCCACCTAGTCATCCCTCCTTCCCTCCCTCCCTCCCTCAACCAAAGTCCCTGGCAACCACTGAACTCTTTACTGTCTCTGTAGTTTTGCCTTTCCCAGCATGACATATAGTTGGAATCTACAGTATGTAACCTTTTCGGATTGGCTTCTTTCACTTAGCAATACATATATATATCTTTTCATAGCTAATAGCTCATTTCTTTTTATCACCAAATAATATTCCATTACATGAATATACCACAATTTGTTTATCTATTCACCTATTGAAGGACATGCTGGTTGCTTCCATGTTTTAACAATTATGAATAAAGTTGCTATAAACATTCATGTGCTGGTTTTTGTGTGGACATAAGTTTACAACTCATTTGGGTAAATACCCAGGAGCACAACTGCTAGACTGTATGATAAGAGTATGTTTAGATTTGTAAGAAATCTGCAAACTCTTCCAAAGTTGGTATACCATTTTGCATTCCCACGAGCAATGAATGAGAGTTCCTGTTGTTCCACATAGTCACCAGTATTTGGTGTTGTTAGGGTTCTGGATTTTGGCCATTGTAATAGATGTGAGTGGTATCTCATTGTTGTTTTAATTTGCAACTCCCTAATGACAAAGAATGCTGAGCATCTTTTAATATGCTTATTTGTCATCTGAATATCTTCTTTGGGGAGGTGTCTTTTTAGATCTTTTGCCTATTTTTAAATTAGGTTGTCTATTTTCTTACTGCTGAGTTTTATGAGTTCTTTGTATATTTTGGATACCTGTCCTTCATTTGAAATGTGTTTTGCAAAGATTTTCTCCCAGTCGGTGACTTATCTTTTCATTCTCTTAACAGAGTCTTTTGCAGAGCAGACTTTTAAATTTTAATAAAGTCCAACATCTTTTTTTATTTTATATGTCATGTTTTTGGTGTTTTATCTAAGAAGTCATCGTCAAACCCAAGCTCCCTAAGATTTTCTTCTATGTTATCTTCTAGGAGTGTCCCATTAATTTCAATAGGTTGTGTTTTCATTTTTATTCAGTTAAAAATACCTTCTAATTTCCCTTTCAGTTTCTTCTTTGGGTTATTTAGACCAATGGGTTATGTAGTATTGTATTATTTAGTTTCCAAATGTTGGAGATGTTTTCCAAATATTTGGAGATTTTTCTCTTATTGGTTTTTAATTTAATTCCATTGTGCTATTCACACAGGATACACCTTGGGTGAATAGAATTTTAAATTTGCTTTATAAATTTCATTTGCAAACCTTGGTATTGTGATCAGAATTTCACTGATCTATAAATTAGTTTATGTAGTACTGACATTGTTATGGTATTATGTCTTCCTACTCATGAAAACATTATATATCTTGATTTATTTGTATCCTCTTTGATATCTTGCAATAAAGTTTTATAACTCTCTTCTTAAAGATTTTGCATATCTTTGTTAGGTGTATTTCTATGAACCTTACCTTTTTGGTTATATTTTTATTGAGGTGAAATTCATTTAACATAAAATCAACAATTTTAAAGTGTACAATTCAGGTCCAGTTAGTACATTCACAATGTTATGCAGCCATCACCTCTATCTAGTTCCAAAACACTTCCACGACCCCAAAAGAAACCCATGCCCATTAGCAGTCACTTTTCATCACCTCTCCCCTCCCCGGAGCTCCTGGCAACCACTAATTTGCTTTCTGCCTCTATGGAGCTACCTATTCTGAATATTTCATATAAATGCAATCATAATATGTTACCTCTTGTGTCTGGCTTCTCTTACTTAGCATAATGTTTTCCACGTTCATATATGTTGCAGCCTGTATCAGTTCTTCATTTTTGTTTTTGTTTTTATTTATTTTTTGTGAGGAAGATTAGCCCTGAGCTAACATCAGATGCCAATCCTCTTTTTGCTGAGGAAAATTGGCCCTGGGCTAACATTCATGCTCATCTTCCTCTACTTTATATGGGACACCGCCACAACATAGCTTGACAAGTGATGCATCGGTGTGCGCCTGGGATCCAAACATGTGAACCAAAGCGGAGCACGTGCACTTAACCGCTACGCCACCAGGCCGGTCCCAGTACTTCATTTATTTTTATGGTTGAATAATAGTCTATTGAATATTCTATTGATGTATATTGATATACCACATTTTGTTTATGCATTCATCTGTTGATGGATATATGAGCTGTTTCCACATTTTGGTTATTGTGAATAATGCTGCTATGAACATTCATGTACAAGTTTTTGTTTGAACACCTGTTTTCAACTCTCTGGAATTGCTAGGTCATATGGTAATTCTATGTTTAACTTTTCGAGGAAATTTTAACCTGTTTTCAACAGCAGCTGCACCATTTTACATTTTCAATAGAAATATATGAGGATTCCAATTATTCCACATCCTTGCCAACACTTGTTATACTCCTATTTTTTTTTTAATTATAGTTATCTTTGTGTGTGTGAAGAGGTATCTCATTGCGGTTTTGATTTTGATTTCCCTAATGACCAATGATGTTGAGCATTTGTTCATGTACTTATTGATCATTGTGTATCTTCTCTAGAGAAATATCTATTCAAGTCCTTTGTCCATTTTTTAATTTTTTTTTTTAAATTCTTGAGTTCTAGGAGTTCTATATATTCTAGATATCTATCCCTCATCAGACATATAACTTGCAAATATTTTCTCCCATTTAGTAGGTTGTCTTTTGCTCTCTATTCTGTGTTCTTTCAGGTAATGGTCAGTCAGTCATGGCCACAAGAGGGGGCACAGGAGAGGCTCAGGAAAACAAAGTTTATTATACTTACAAGTCCTAGGGAGACTGTCATTGCATACTGTGAGGTCACATGGGAGGAGTGTCAAGGGAGCAGACTCAGCAGCAGGTGGGGGGTTGAGAGAGAGAGGGGACCCATGGGCAAATGACTTTATTGGGGCTCAGCGTGGAGCACATGAGCAAAAGGCACCAGGGGATTTCATTGGTGCATTTGAATGTCACTAGGTCACAGTCAGAGGAGGGTAAGAAGGGAAACTTGTGGCAGAGACCAACCTTATCACATTAGAGCATCTGTCACCTGGGCAGGGTACTCACAGACTGTTTGTGGGGCTGTTGAGGCAGCAGGAAAATATGAAGTTTTAAAATTTGCAATACAATCAACCCCGTGGTGCCTCAACATTACTAGCAACACTAACTGGGAGGGATAATGCTTGGCACCTGGGTTGTGGAGATGTTAAAGGTGAATGGGACAGCTTGATTTAGCCAACGAAGGTAAATTTTGATAAATGTGACAACTAGAAAGAGTTCTGTTAGGCATAATATATGGGTTTGGTACCCAATTTGCAACCAGGCCCCCCACTTTGTGGGAGAAAGCTGGGCATCTCTGGATTAAGGGAATCATTGGAAGTTTTTGGTTATGATATGAAAGACATTTACCTCTTGTCCATTCCTCATAGCTTGGCCTGTACCTGTTATTACAGGTTAATGTAGAGTTATTCATGCACATACAGCAGAAGATATCCTGAGTGGCACAAACCCTTCCTTCCCTGGCTAGGAAATAGACAAGAGCCAGTCTGTTATTCACTACCATTTGAGCTAGAGACTCATAGACTAGTTGTATAAGGGATAATGTTTCAAGCAGCATTTAAATATGATCTGAAAAGTCCACTGAAATGTGCTGGTTGGCAGTTATGATTTGTTTTGTTTAACAAAGGCTGCTGTTCTGGTTTCAATTCTGGTGGTCCCTATAGCTATGGCAAGTCCTAGTAAGATGGAAATAAATATTGCCCATTTTGCCTGGTGTCCTTGAGCTGATGGAAATGGGAGGCACCCAGTAAACAAAGAACTAGGGGAATCCCCTGTGTAACCACCACATGTTGGGGTATGGTTTCATTAGGGAAAAAAGGGAGTCGACAAAGGAAAAATATGTAAGGTGCTGTGCCTATAAGTTTGGACCACAATAGAAGTAAAAGGTACCATTATTTAGAGCACAATGCACCTGAGATGACGTTATCATAAGAAGGGTGAAGGCCTCAGCATGAAGAATTGGCCAAGTGCAGCTGGTTCCTGGACACAAAGGGTAAAGCCTGTTGGGATGACTTGACTATAACATGCAACCATCCCGAGAGAGCACAGTTAGAAATTTAAGTAATGTATTTAAGTAGTGTATTTAAGTAAATGGAGGCTTTTCTTAGGTGCAGATATTCCTTGGAAGCCATGATAGAACTTGGTCTAGCCATGATAGAACTTGATCTAGCATGGCCTCAGCAAGGAGGATGTTGAGGTGGGGCCCCACGTCTAGTGGAACTTGGTGGCAGGACCAACAATTTTGAAAGGCTAGGGTCATGGTTAAAACATCAGAGGCTGGCCCCATGGCCTAGTGGTTAAGTTCGGCATGATCCGCTTTGGTGGCCCAGGTTCAATTCCTGGGTGCAGACCTACACCACTCATTGGTGGCCATGTTATGGCGGTGACCCACATACAAAACAGAGGGAGATTGGCACAGATGTTAGCTCAGGGCGAATCTTCCTCAGCAAAAAACCAAAAACAAAAACACCTTCAGTAGCCTGTACATATGAGTTAGAGGTCTTGGCCTGTTGCCGGGGTGGTGTGGTAGTTGTTGTGATATAAGTGAGAGGAGACTGGAAGTGGAGATGTTCATGAGAGTGGTATGCGTAAACGTAGGGTCATGGGTGCCAACCTCAGGAGGGCTGGGGTGCATGGTATTTCTGCCATGGTCAGTGTTGGAGGGAAACAGAAATCTGAGGAAATCTTTAGAAGGGCACACAGGAATGGCAAATCTGGTGTGCTGGGGTGGTGGCAGAGAAGTATATTAGGAGAAACTCCCTGATGGGTGATATTTGAGATACAATGCTTTGCATTCTATAGAGACTTAATGCACTCAAGGGCTGTTCTGCAATCATGGGGTTTGAACTCATGGTTTCACAGGCATGTTTCAGCAGAGTAAGATCTATGATTAAACAACAAGCAATCTCAGGGAAATAGTACTCCCAGGGTTCATGTTCATATGGGGCAATACAATATCACAATTCACTGGGATCAGCCAAGGGTAGCAGGGGCATCAACACTGAGTGAGGGAGTTGTTTAAAGAAGAAGTGTCCAAAACAGAGTCCATATCCAGAGCAGAGGCAGTTGTCTGAGGTGAAGTCACCTCCATTGGCAAGCTCTTAAGCTATAATTTCTACTTCCTGGACACAGTCTGTGGAACGGGGGTTAAGCAGCCATCTTTTATATACTGAGTACATAGGGAAGGTCTCAGTCTTTGGCATTAGCTTGTCTAGGTACTTCTGTGTCCAAATTAGGATATCTCAATGAGCTTTCAATGTTTAAAGGATCATATTTGATAATCTGATCCTGATTGGACCTCCAAGCTGAAGGGTTGGAGGAAAAATCAAAAAGTCACATTTATATGGGGAGGAATCATTGAAAGGAATAATGAGGACATATTCATTCCAGACAGTGAAATGAGCCAGATTGCCTTTGATAACAAGCTGGGGCAGGTTGCATGAAATTAGTGTGAGGGGTATAGAATCCCCCAGGGTGGAGATTTGAAGGGCATGGGGGCTTGCAGGGGCAAAGAGACCACGTGAAGTTTCATTTTCCAGAGAGCAATTTTAGTAACAAACGAACATTTCATAAGATGCCCTGTTCTAATGCCCAGGTCTCAACAGCATGGGAAGTGAAATGAGTCCCTTGGTCAGAATCAGTGATATCCGGAACACCATGGTTTTCATGAGGCCAGTGAGAGTGGTCTCCTTTGCGGCATGCCACGTGGGGAAGGCTAGCATCAACCTCATAAATGAGTCAATCATAGTGAGGGCATAGCAAGTGGTACCTGTGGTGGGGGGTAAGGGACCAATATAATCAATGTGCCATTGGGATAAGGGATAAGATCCCTGTGGAACAGCTCCCCACTGAGGAACATGCCAATGTTCAGTCTTGGAGCATAAGTCACGGTTGTCAGTCTCTGTCTTGACTAGAGAGGGTCCCAGAGGAGTGCCTCGTCTATGGTCCCATTTGACAAGAGCATGCATGCCCCGGTGCCCAGAGTATTATGTGCCTAAACTGCCTGCAGGTATGAAAACAAGGAGTCCAGAGAAGCAGCTGATGTGGCTAGTGAAAGTGTGTTAATCTTAGATAATTGGTATGCTGTGTTGTTGAAAGGTGCCTCTGGACTGTCATGTCGTGTATGTGCAGAAACATGTGTGACAACAATGGGAATGGGCAATGTTGCCAACTCCTTCCAAACGTAGGATCCCCTGAGGGGCCAGCCTTATATTAATTAAGAAATCATCTCTCTGCCATTGGCCTAACCAGACCACAAGGCCATTTGCAACTGCCTATGAATCAGTAAAGATCTGGACATGAGGAACCTGCCTAGCAAGGGCATCCTTTAGTGCTAAATGCACTACTTCCAACTCTGCTGAGCAGATCCAAAGACATTGTCTCTAGTCAGAGAGGTATTTGAGGCCAGATGAAAGACTGCGGCTCTCCAGCAGGCTGCATTTCATAAGGTGGTGGTGCTGCCATCAGTGAATCTCACTGACTTCCTTTCCATGTCAGACAGTTGGTCCCAAGTGATTCTTCTTTCACCACTGGAGGAGGCAATGGGGGCACCATCACCGTCTCCAGGTCCACTGGCAAAAGTCTGAGCATGGGGGAAGCCACATCCTCCTGCAACTGGGAAAGGCCCTGTTTGTCAGGTTTAACCCATTACTGGAGGTTCATTTTCACTTAAGCCAAGAAGCTTCCATGGTCGTGCCAAGCCACTGCTGGGAAAAATCTCTCACCCATGGCAGGATAGAAATCTGGCTGGGGGCAGTGAAAGCCTTGGTCTCTATCAGGGCTCAGGAGGCAGCTAATATGTGATGCTCTACAGGCAGGTATCAGATGGCAGCTGATGGTAGCCTCCAGATCCAAAAGCTCATCAGGAATTATTTTTGACCATGCTTAGTCCAGAGGCTCCAAGAGTCATATTCAGGGGTGGCCAATGCCTCAAGTCTAAAAATTGGTTTGGGGGGAACCAGTGGCCTGGCTTGTTGTATAGCCTGCTCAGTTAATTCCAATGCCCCTTGCGGGGGCTCCCCCCACTGGAAGGTGGCAGACTTTCAAGTGACGTGGTAAATAGGCTGAAGTAAAGTTGAAAGATGTGGAATGTGATGTTGCCAGACATGTAGAGGCCTAACAGGTGTGGAGCCTAGTGAGATGTCTAGGGTGGGCTGAGCTGTAAAAGTTGACACTTAACTGTGGTAGGGATTTGGCAGCCATCAGAAGACCAGATTATGCCCAAGAATTTAATCGAGGTCACCAGGCCTTG